ACTTGTATTCTCACCGTTTTCTCCTTCAAGATTGAGTCATTCAAACATGATTCCTTTATTCATATATTTCATAAACAACTGCTAGCATATAATAGGTTAAAGCCAATGACCTATCTTTTGCTTGGAAGCCCAAGTACTTCCTAGTTCATATATAGTTACGAACTTTGATCCAATTATACTATAACATTTACACTCTTTGGAGAACCTAAGCTGTGATATAGATCTATGGGTCATATTTTTCATTATCAATACTCTGTCTGCTCATAAAGAAAAATTAGTATTAGTTCTTCTGGAACCATATTAATACTATTGCATCTAGTTCTTCAAGAAATATATAATTTAAGAGGAATATGAAAGACAACTCTATTTCAATATATTATTAACATAATAGCAAATAATTATGGTATCAAAGATTTAACTTGCAAAACACATAGAGAATATACAAAAATGATGAAGAACATTCAAAATGAACTTTTAAAAGTAAAGTACAAATAAGACTTAACGTTCAAAACTTCTCAATATTGATCAAGGTACTATAGACATTTAAAATATTCAAAACTAATATTGAATCAGATCATATAAATAAGATATAAATAAACAGAATATAACTAGTAACTCTTGAGTCTATTTGATCTATTTAGTTTTATATCACACACTTATCAATATTACAATATCAAATTCTTATAACATTTGTTTCTCACAAATCACAATAAATTTAAAGACCGATAAAAATTAAACATTATACATATAGCCTTATAGGAATATACTTATATGTTTTCTATTTTTATATATACTTTGCGCATCTATCTTTCTTCACAACTTATTGTTTTCATACATTAGAATTAGCTTCGATATTTTCATAATATCACATGGTCTTTTTGATTCCACAACCATTTTTTCTTAACATTTGTTTTTCAATGAATTGATACATATTTGTCTATATGACTTCTGGTCATATTATAACAGTTGTTCATAATTTTATCATATTGATCATAGGGCCATTACTAATTCTACTGTTATGATTCAATAATCAAACCCAAAGATTATTGCCCTTTTAGTCATCAGTTCCACTAATACGATGTGATCATACTTTTTATCATTCTTACGGATATATTCCTTACTTTCAATAGCACACCATCAATTTTCTCAAATATTAGTCTTCCGAATTATAACAAAATTTTCAGAACTACAAAATTCTTTTGTATCATTTAATTTTTAAACCATCAGTCTTCAAGACTTTGATATAGATCATCAAATTGTAACAATCTTGCCATGCCATCTGTTACTACCATAAGATAGTCTTTTATCAAATAATCATCAAAATGTGATGTGGCTTCTGGCCATCTAATCACAAAATCAAGAATATAATGGCTATTAGCCATTCATTTATATGTTTAACATTCTACTTTCCAAGACAACAATTAACCAATATCAGAGATGATAATCATATATAGTAATTTTATAGATAAACATAAACCTCATAGCAAATCAAGAAGTATTAAGGATAGTAGGATCATAAAAATATAAGAAAAGTAAGAAATAAAAATTTTCATATTTCAAAATGATAAATAAAATATTCGGTTGTCAATGAATCAATATGGTTAATATGCAAAACCATCATTTCCTCTAAATAAATTGGAGAAATCTTACCAAACTGTTTGGATCAAACTATCTTCATTCAACGAACAAAACCTCCACGTGTATCAACTAGGAGCCATGAACTCTGATGGTAGAGTCTCGTGCTGATAACGTGTTATGAAATTAACCAACAATGAAAGTAGATTGGAGAAGAGAAGTAGACAAGAAAATGAGAGAATGATATTTTATTCCTTCACTTGCTTCACTTTACAATAGCATACCTTATTTATAGACATAATCTTACACATAAGTTATATTGGTGCTTAAATAATAGATAGTAGATAATAAACCACATGAATATGAGTGGGGGGAGTTACAAGATTAAAGGCATAGTGGAAAGGTAATAGAGTAGTAGAAGATTAATACCTAGTGGAAGTAGTAGGAGTTGATGATGAAGTTGAGAGGAAGAGGAAGAGGAAGAAGAGGAGATGGACATCCACATGTTATAATATTCATAACAGAATTAATTTAATTAATTTTTTAAATCCATTTAAATTAGCAATTAATTTTTATATCAAAGACTTGGTTAGTATATAATTATTCTATTATTGAGTTTAAAATTCTTCTAGTATGATACACAGTCCTCTAGGGCGTAACTTTGTCCAAAAGCAAAGGGTTGGGGCGGGACAACAAATGTACGTTATACAATGAAATAACCCAGCAATTCACAAAGACTTGACATGGCTTGTTGACCCCAAAAGCAGGAATGATAGGAATTGGATCCTCTCCACTACCCTTTCCATCCTCTTTCCCTCCACTACCCTTCTTTTCTCTTCACAACCATTGGATCAAAACTCCAATGGTCTAGATTTAATATTTAATAAAAATAAATATTATGATAAAAAATAGATAAATAAATTTAAACTGTTAAAATCTAATCTGAACAGTTCATAACTATAGACTGTTATTATAAAGCAAATTTTTTTAAATTTTTTTATTACAATTGTAAACTGTTCAGACCAGATTTTAATAGTTTAAATTTATTTATTTATTTTTTAATAACATTATTTTTATAAGATGTTAAATCTAGACCATTAGAATTTTGATCCAATGGTTATGAAGAGAAAAGAAGGATAGTGGAGGGGAAGAGGATAGGAAGGCAGTGGAGGGAATTCAAGTCCGGAATGATAGGGGAGGTAAGAGGTAAGGAGTACCAAAAAAATGACGCCTTAAAATAGCCAATCTATTCCTTTAATCCAAAAGACATACATTAATAACCTGAGATTTTAGCTGAGATCAAATTCATAATCTTTTACATATACAAAAATCTTAATACCACTAAGTTATAAAGTTATTAAAAACGTTACGTATGAAAAAGGATATGAAAGATGAAAATAAAAATGTTATGTATGAAAAGGGATATGAAAGATGGAAAATTTCCATACTCTTAATAAGTTAAGACCCATATCCTATTTTTTTCCGGGGAAAAAAAAGGTTCATGTCATTTTCGTTTTTATTTCCTCAATTCTTTCTGCTTTTCCGGTCGAAAAAATCGTCTTATGTTTAAATATGTTATTTAATTTTTTTTATTCACCTATAGAAAACCCACCCTTTTCGATTTTAGAGCGTGCGATCTTCTCCTTGGTCTTTCAATGCATTTTCCAATGGAATTTTAGCAGAGAAAACTTGAAAAATGAAATGGAAAAAAAATTCAAGCAAATACATTTTTCCAATTTTTTTTAAACGAAAAACATAGATACCTAACAAAAACCCAAAAAAAAAAATGTCAGCAAAATGGGCTTTTATTTTTTAATCTTTGGTGAAAGACAAAACATATATATATATATATATATATATATGAATTGCCTTCTCAGTATTACTTTTTTTCCCGAAAAAATCTCATCATTGTCATTCCTCATAATCTTTTGCTTTTTTAATAAAATCATTGCTCATAATCAATGGCCTAGCTATTAGAGCCAGCGCCCCATATGCATGTCGGCCCCTTTTTATTTTTAAAGAAAATCATTTTACAGATGGCTATGCTATTTTCAATTTGTTATCTCTACAGTTTTTTTCTCCTTATTTTTAAAAATTGAGAAAAATATGGATATATGTAAAATAATTTTCCTTATTTTTGGGACTTATCCTAAATTTATCAAGGAAGGAAAAAAAAGAAAAGAAAATTGAAGGGAATATGCAGGAATAACCTTTTTGTAAAGCTGCTCAAGTCGTACGATGCAGCAGCAATGCAACGCTGAAACGCCATCGACAACTTCCCGGAAACTGCAAAAAGAGCCTCTGAAACACACAGATAAATACATGAGTGAGGCACTCGGTGGTATCTGAATGCGAACTGAAGAGCTTGTTCCAAGAGAAAGAAAGTCTGCAAGTTCTGAAGCTGCCATTTTGTGAGAGCTATTTCCCTTCACATCCATCCAGGTTCATTTCTTCTCTTTCATTTGCTTTGTCCCATGGATCTATTGCTCCTTCTAGTGTTGTCCCTGCACTTTTCCTCGGAATTTTCGCAGAAAAATTATGCAAAAGATTTTCTCTTTTCTTCTTCTAGTGCTAGCTGTTGATTGATTCTCCTCCATAGCTACTTTACAGTCGTAGATCTAATAAATCTTCAACATTTAGAATCTTTTATACCTTAACTTCTGAAAGACAAAGCCCCAAAACCTTCTAAGATATGGGTGGACTTGATCTACAGATTAAAGTCTTCATCTATTTTATTCAAATCTTTTTAATGAAGTGAACGGCCCATTTATTTATTTTATAAAAAAGCAAAGTGCTTGTTCTTCCTTTCACCTTAATCACTCCCCTTTTCGTTGTTGCGCGTGAAAAAGGCATCGATATAAATGAACAGGGCATATTCAGTTTTCTCATGATCCACTTGCTTGGTACGGTTTTGTTTTCCACAGAAAACAAACATATATTAATATATTAACACACGGCCTGATTCGCCTCCAACAGGTGTCCTTTTACTTACCATATATAGCTTCTTTAAGAATAAATTGAGTTGTTGATAAGACACATCAGATAAATCAGTGAAGTTATTGGGTGCACTTGACTGGTAAGTTGAACACATGATGAATTCTTTCTTTTGCATTATTCCACCCATAGAGACAGGTTCTTCGTTTTCGCATCAATCGTTCGGTAACTTGCTCCCACTTGCTAAGTATTTTTTGTTGTTGATGTTTTTATCACGTTAATCAAGAGCCAAACCATGGCACCTCCTGAGAAGTTAAAGCCAAGAAATATTACTTTATCACGTTAGTTTCCGGTTGGTGACAAGTTTCAGGTCATAGCAAGAGATTACAGTCACATGGAGGCAACCTTTACTCTAACGCTCATAGAAGCTGTATTGATTTTGCTGGCTATAGCAATTTCTAAAGCTATCACATTAATCTCTCCACTTGATCATGGGTAACATGTTCTTTAAATGTTCACTTTATGGTTTGCTCATAGTCCGATATTTATTATTCATGATTTTTTTCTATCTCTAGTCATGAAGATGCTGTTGATTTGATTCCCACGGTTTCTTGTCCTTCTCTTATCATTGGTGCTCCTCCTGCAATCAAGTATGACGTGTTTCTTAGCTTCAGAGGGGAAGACACTCGCCACACCTTTTCTAGTTATCTCTATGAAGCACTTGACCAAGCGGGCCTTCATACTTTTATGGATCACAAGCTCCACAAAGGAGATCATATCTCACCAATTCTTCTGAAAACAATAGAGAAATCAGAGATATCTTTGATCATTTTCTCCAAGGATTATGCTTCTTCAACATGGTGTATGGATGAGCTCGTTCACATTATGAAATGTAAAGATAAGTACGGAAGGCTTGTCGTCCCAATTTTCTACAACGTAGATCCATCAAATATTCGGAAACAGGATGGGAGATTTGGCGATGGATTTGCCAAGCTCAAGCAGAGATTTAAGCATGACCAAAAAAGAGTGCAGGAGTGGAAAAATGATTTGATCAAATCGGCAAGTCTATCTGGGTGGGATTCAGAGAATTTCAGGTAGCTTTTGTTCTACTCATGATGCTCTTATATTCTCTCTCTTAAATTTGGGCATTAAACATAACCATTATTTTAATTTGTATTTATGCTAGGCCTGAATCTGAACTTGTCAAAAAGATTGTCAAAGATGTTTTGAGCAAGCTGAATCGTAGGTCATCCTTTCATGTGGATGGATTAGTTGGGATTGATCATCAGATACAGAAAGTTGAAGAGCTGCTAACTGAAGCTCGCATTGTGGGAATATGGGGTATGGGTGGTATAGGCAAGACCACTCTTGCTAGAGCGGTCTTTGAGAGGTTGACAGCTGATTTTGAATCTTTCTACTTTGTTGAAGATGTCAAACAAAAGCTGGCAAAGAATAGATCGAAATATATCAAAGAATGCCTCAAAAAGTTATTACATGACGACGATATTAACCCTTACAATTTAACATACGCTTCTGTGAGAAGGAGGCTTGAGCAGAAAAAAATTCTTTTGGTACTTGATGATGTGGACAATTCTAGAATGGCTGAAGATTTAATCAAAGCATGTGATTGGTTTGGGGAAGGAAGTAGAATTATTATCACATCAAGAGATATGCAAGTGCTTAAAAATGCTTCTGATTCTGCATCTCCTGCAACATATCACGTTCTGGAATTGAATCCGCATGATGCCCTTCATCTCTTTAGCTTGAACGCTTTCAAGCAAAATCAACCTTTCGAAAACTACTTGGAGTTATCAAAGTGGGTAGTGGATTATTGTGAAGGAAATCCATTAGCTCTGAAAGTGTTGGGTCGCTATCTTCATGGTAGAGGAAAAGAAGAGTGGGAAAGTGCTCTGGCGAAACTAAATCAAACTCCTGACTATGACATTTTGAATGTGCTAAAATTGAGTTTTGATGGACTTGATGACACACAGAAGAATGTATTTCTTGACCTAGCATTTTTTAGGAACAAAGGACGGTGGATTTCTCTGAATTGTGCAAGAGACTTATATGCACGTATTGACATAAGTGTACTTAAAGAGAGATCCCTCATTTCAGAGGATAGATGTGGTAATATTGGGATGCATGCTCTATTAGTGGAGTTGGGGCTTGAAATTTCTCGGCAACAATTAAAATCTGACTCTGAAAAACCCATTCGACTTTGGAGATCCCAGGATATTTATCACTTCTTCAACAATGACAAGGTAATAATTTATTTTTCAGATTTTATTACATTCTTTATTCTCTTAATGTTTCATTTCATTGTCATCATATTTTCATAAAAGTTATTAGTTTATTCTCTAAAATCTTAGGTAAGTCTCAATGTATGCGGAATCAGACTTTTTATTTTTATTTTTTTTTAAAAAATCATTTCTTCGAACTAAATTGTTTGGGGTCGTATATAATCTTTCTGTTAGGTGTGATTCATTAATCTTAAACTTTGAAATATTCGTCTTCTTAAGTTTTTAGATAGAATATGATTAGTATTGGTATAAGGTAATTTTAAAATTTGGAGCATGAAGGATCTTGAATAAATTATACAATTATCCACGAAGGTTGACATTCTTAATGTTTATATAAAAGTGATTGTGTGTATACTGACACACTGCACATGCACACTATCGCGTTTTCTTGGTAAAAATTTAATGTTGCGAAAAAGTAGAAATTATGAAATTTGAACATAAAATGAAAATTTTAAAAATTTTATATATGCCCCCCGGGGGGTTTATATGCAGTAGTTTTTGTTTAAGAATGTTTGTTATATGAAGGATTAATATAATTTTGGTCCTTCAAATTTGTATTAATTTTAGTTTTAATATCTCAATTTTCAAACAATACGTTTTGGTTTTTCAACTAGCAAAATAATCCATGTTTTTGCTAAGTTATAGAAAGCAATGTTTTAGATAGAAAGAACCTAGAGGGATTAAAACCTTTGATTTGAAATTTGAGGGATTAAAATTAAAATCACAACAAAGTTGAGGGACATATTGACCCTTAAATAAAATATAAACGTGTGCCTGTGGGGCTGTTTGTATGATTGTCCCCCAGCCTACGTGTGTATTTGTTTTGTCCGATTTATTTATTGCAAGATAAAAAGAATTGTAAGTGTATAAAAGAAATTTCTAAAAGAAATATATTTAATTGTTCTCTTGGTTATTTGATGACCTTTTACATATTACTGGGTTTTTTCCCCATAGTTTGATCAGTAGGCGGCTGAGGCAATTTAATGCTTATCATTAGACATCAGAAATAAGATACAGAGGATTACATTAACAATTAGTAATTTTCAGAAGAATTATACTTTAAAATTAGCTAGGACTTTGTTACAAGTGTTATTTTAAAAGACAAAACTAGTCTACAAAGAATTTTCATTCAGTGATTAGTGATATATGCATACGCACGTGTGAGCATAACTAACTGTTATTTGAGGTACAATGTAAAAAATGAAAACAAATGACTTTTCACTTTTATAGTTATATTCTAAATATCTGCATATGCATATAGCTAGGTATACTCATCAGTGTGTTTGCGTATTTATGATTTTTTAGAAATTTATTTATTATGGGAAAAACAAAAATTATAAGAAATTTTGAATAAAATGCATATAATGGTGTTAGTTTGGATATTTTTAAAAGTTGACATATTTAATTGTTTTATGGTATTTATGGTCATTTTTTTAGGTGATAAGAATTGTGTTTCCCTTGATTTGATATTATTACCAGGGGATTGAGGCAATTCGATGCATGTCATTGGATGTAAGCCAGGTAGAAAGCATGACATTGAGGGCTAGTCATTTTCAAAGGATGCGTAATTTAATATCCCTTCAAGTTTACAAGTCAGATTGGGAAAAGCCTTCAACGTTGAATATTGATGAAGAGTGGGATTATCTTTCAAAAGAATTAAGGTTTCTTAGTTGGGAAGATTATCCACTGCCATCTGTGCCATTACAATTTTGTGCTGAGAATCTCATTAAACTTAACATGCCTGGTAGTAATATCCAACAGCTTTGGGATGGAAATCAGGTATGTACGCATTGTTTTTTCAAATGTATGTCATAATGTTTTTGTTGGTGTATGTGATTCTAAGACACGGCATCAAACATTGACTAAAATAATTCACAATGCAAATGGTTAATTGTTTTTGTGCTGAGAATCTTATTGAACTTAATTTGCCAATGAGTAATATCCATCAGTTTTGGGATGGAGATCGGGTACGTATAATTTCTTCTACGTCATAATTGTTTGTTCTTGTGATTCTAAGAAACATGACTAAAATAATTCACAATGCAAATATTTACTCTCTTACTATCTTTCAATTGATGGTTGAGTAGTAATTGTACAATTTGGGGGGAGTCCAACTGTTGTTGTAATGGGCATGAGAAAAATTCTTGATTAAATTGTACGTATGTGGAGTTATCTAATTTATTTAACACTACTGCTTTGTTTTTTTCAGCAATTTCCAAATCTAAGGAAAATAGATCTATGGAATTCAAAAAATCTTATGACACTCCCAGATTTGTCCCGAGTCCCAAACATTGAGTTGATAGATCTTGCTGCTTGTGTGAATTTAGATCAAATCCATTCGTCAACTATCCCGGAAAAGAATCTTGATTTATGTATAAGATATTGTGGGCCAATGAAGATGAATGTTGGGGGCAGTATGCAAGGGAGAAGTTCATCAGGGTTAGTGATTGTGTATAATTATTTAGATCTTGCCGATTTGACATTCAATAAAGTGATAATGAAGGTGTTGGTATGTGGCAAGATGATGTGTGGTGTTGGATTTAAGCATGTGAGAATGTCATTGGTAGAGACGGCAGAATTCATGGGAATGGGAATACAGAGTTTGGGGACTTTACTTCCATTTGTGAGGGAAGTTGAATGGTTAGAGAGTCCAATTGAGTTTGGGCATGATTTCAAGCAACATCATACCTATCATGTTGATGTTGATCATGCATCTCATGGTCCTTTAAGCTACAATGACTTCAGGCTTTATGTAAAGGTGAGGGGTGATGGAGAAGAAAGGGGTGTGGAAGATGATGAAGAAGAGGATGAGGATGATGCAGAAATGATTAGTGAGAATGAAAGAGAAATAAGTAGTAAAGGTGATCAAGTAGGAGAGACAACATTATTATTAATGGAAGATGAACAAGAAGGGGCCGATGAGGATGATAGTAAGAGGGACGATGCATTATTAACGACACTACTTATTCCTAACAGCATCCCTCGCTGGTCATTGTTGGTTCGACTGACATTAAAAGAGAGTGATATTATTATTGGGAATAATAATACAGTTTGTAGAAGGAGGATTCAGCCTCTCTTGGCATTACAACTCTCTTCTCCAATATCTCCTTTACCTCATCATTCTTTCACAGTCCGTTATAACTACTCGGAGAGTACGCCACGCGGTCCTTCTTTTCTTTATTTCAGCAGTGAATACTGGTCAAGTGATTATTTTGATAGTCATGGCTTAGTTGTTTGCTTTTCCAAGTACCACGGATTATATTAATTGTCATTTAAATTTTTCAGGTCATAAAATTATTATTTGAATCAGCCTCAGTTATTTTCTTATTTCATATTAATATTATGTTTTTATGAAATATCAATTTTTCTGTTTTTTTTAATATGTAATTCATGTACAGAGGCCTCCTCACAACTTTAGAACGTAAAAATTGTTAATCTTATTTTGGCTTCACAATAACTACACCTGTCGTGTGTGTTACTCTCCATGTGATGTGAGTATAATAATTAGCGTGACAAGCAATTTCCTTACTAAGCAATTTTATTATAAGAAAGTATAATGATTACTTTTGAATTAACTCAACTTGGAAATGTTAGAATGTTATAATATTTAAAATTGTAAACTACATTAAATTAAAATAAAATCTATTTGTTTGATTGGCCACCAGTCAATCATTCCAAGTTGATCAACGTGGTTAATTGGCACTCTGGTCATTTCCACTTTTTTTCAAAAAAAAAAATCTATTTATACTTGGTTTTCTCACTTGAGATCTAGTGGTAATTTTCCCTTCACATTATGTGACATCAAAGACATATACTACCTCTGACTCTTAATATAAGACCCTATTTGATTTTTATTTTGGTCCTAAATATAAGACTTCAATCCACTTTGTCTCTCATATTTATTCATTTTTTTTCCAAAATAACCTTTCTAACAATGATAGTTCTAGTCACTACACTTGATTAGTAAGGATATTTTAGAAAAGACAACACCTATTTAGGACAAATAACTAACTCGACTTACTTCCTTAATCTCCTCAAATTAGTGAACTAACTCTTATAATTAGGACCGGAGGTAGTATATTTTTTTGAAGTGTGATTTATCAAGCGCTTCCTCACAACTTTAGAAAATACTCTAGAAATTATTAATCTTAATGTTTCTTTTCAATAATTGTTCTATCGTTCGTTACTTTCTGCGCGTGTACACTGCATAACTTATTTATAAATATGTGGAGAAATAATTTTCTATTGCGAAGTAATTTCCTTCGGATTATTGATTATTTACCATACATAGAGTATCCTCTAACTTGTACTTCAAAAATATGTACAGTCTGCTTGCATAAAATGGATTTTACTAAATTAAACTATAATAGAAAGTATTACCATAACTCATATTTTATTACCATAAGTTGTAAACTTCATGAAACGTCATTATTTTTAACTTTGTTTGGTTGAATAATAATGGGAGAGGGAAAAATTTAATAAGTTTGATTTTTTATGAAAACCAAGTAAGGTTAAAAGATTTTTTTTTTTTTTAATGACAGAGGACAGGAAACAAACTACAAAACTAAATCAGAAATAAGGAAAGTAGCAATAAGATCAAGGGGGAATCAATCTTTCTAAGTTCGTGACCCAGGCAATAAAACCAATCTTTTCACTAAATTATTAAATTTATCCTAGTTATATATAGATTTAACCCAAAAAAAAATGTAACATATATGCTTAGTCCTTTAAATCTACCTCAAATTTTGGTTTAATCTTAAACTAGCATTAATTTCCTTACTTCAATATACCAAAAGTCTTTGCTTATTACAATTTTTATCACCACAAAAGCATTAACACTGCATAATTACACTA